TGGACTGCCTTTTTATGTGATTTGATATTGACTGTTGTCTCCAAACCATCAATAAGTTATTTATTTTATATTTGTTTAGTGTGTCCTAGCTTCTTGTTTTGTTTTGATATTCTCAAATAGGCTGCTCGTGTGTGTGAGTTTCACTGTTGGCGCCTTGGAAGCTCTAACTTCTTGTCGTCAGGTAGTTAGTTCTGTAACTAAGTCTGTGCACATGGGAGTCCATTAAATTTTGCTGTATGGGTTCAGCTCAGGTGTCCAGGCAGTCAGTCACCAAATGTGTAGTGCAGGCTCTCGCCTACAGTCTTAGAGAGGCATGGGTGATTGGTGTAGGCACAGGTATCTGGCTGCAGTAAGGGGTTATGCGCTGAGCAAGGCAGGGGGTGATGGCTGCCCATGAGTGTCTAAAAGGAAAGCATGTCTCTATTCCCTAGAGTGAGTAGGTAGTTGAGTTTTGTGGCCTATGACCCCCCCCACTCTGTTGGCTGTAAAGACTCGGGGACACCACTTATTCTTGGACCCCTGTAACAGGTGACTAGGTGATGAAGGTGGAGCCACCAGTCCTCAAGCCCCTGGTGCAGACTGATAAATGTGCCTGCTTAAAGGGCTGGACTGTGTCAGGGGTCACAAATCTGCCACTTCTCAGCTGAAACAATTGAAGTTAGACTTCAGGTGTTTACCCTGTAGTACTGTGGTAGTGAGGGCTTACACTGTTGAGATGGGTCCACACAAGTCTATACGGGGTGGAAGGCACTCAAAGTCTGCCAACCCCTTGTGCCTGTGCCTAGCAAAGGAGCTGTGCTGACCCTGAGTTCCTGGCTTGGGGGAGCCAGCAGCTTATTTGTTCCCCCTCCAGGGCCAGGAGGATGGGTCAGGGCGAATTTTGGGATCTACTTCCAGCCAAGAGAACTCAGAGACTTCAGATGGCCAGACTGGTTCAGAGCAGGGAAGGAGGAGATAAAAGGGAGAGAAGTTTTTCCCAAATTGGCTTTAAAAAAAAATAATCCTTGCAAAAGGCCACACGCATGTACTTACCTTTAGCCACTTGGGAGCTGCTTTTCACTGGTTCGGAGGGTCCAAGCAGAATCTCTGCTACTGGCTCACTCTCCATGTGGTAACTGCCTCCCAAGCACGTGCGCAGAGCTCTTTGCCTGCTTCCCTGCACCCAGAGCCCTTCAGGGCTGAAGAGCTGCAGCTCCTGCCGCTGCCGGTCTGGAACTCCTCGCTTCTTCTGAACTGTCTTCCTCTCCCCCCGCCACTCAGTCTGATTCCTCAACTTTGCCTTGTTCAGGGTTCCTAGATTTTCATATACAATGAAATCACTCGTTTTTCCAGGTCTTTGTTGTAAGAGGGATATAGGAAGCTGTCTGTCTACTCCACCATCTTGGCCCCGCCACCCTGGAAGCCTTTTTTGGTATTTCTCCTTCTTTTCCTTTAATTATTACTTCATTCTCAAAAAAATTATTGATATAGCTTCACATATACAAATTACCACAATATTGTAGCTAAAACACCAGAAAATTTGACAAAATCAATGACTATAAAAACACCGGCAGCAATGAAAACAACAGCAAGTGCTTGTAACGCGTGCAGGTGAAACCACGTGGTTCAAAGTGTCATTGTAATTGGGTATTAATGAGAGCTCTGATTAGAGTGCTTTCAAGCAAACAAAACAAACTCGTTGTTGTCAAGTTGATTTCAACTCATAGTGACCCTATGGGACAGAGTAGAACTACCTTATAGGGTTTCCAAGCAGCAGCTGGTAGATTTGAACTGCTGACCTTTTGGCTAGCAGCCTGAGCTCTTAACTGCTGTGTCATCAGGGATCTGGAGTGCAGAGGAAGGTTCAAAAGTAAATTAGCATAATTTTAGGCTTGTAGATTTATTGATACATACATGCTGGGCTTACAAAACATGTTTTTGTTGTTATAAATAAGTGTTGCTGTTGTTAGGTACCATTGAGTTGGTTCTGACTCATAGCAACCCTGCAGGACAGAGTAGAACTGCCCCATAGGGTTTCCAAGGAGCAGCTGGTGGATTCGAATTGCCAACCTTTTGGTTAGCATCCCAGTGCTTAACCACTGTGCAACCAGATAGGGGCTAAAGGAGAAATGACCAAAGAACTCCTATTAGGGAGGAGTTTCATCTTTTCCATCTTCAAATTTAAGAATATATTTACCAAATATTCCTTCACATGGCCTCTCTCTTTCTTCTTAGGTATAAATATTGCTTCCAGAAAGATATGGGCTATTCTCAGGAGGGTTTAGATAACAAACACATAGGGAAACATGTACATGCCTATTTAAAACCACTCATTACTTTCTTCCTGTTGTTTTTCTGCTCATAAGGGAACCTGAAGACCCAAGGCAATCCTATCCCCTGGGACACTCAATCAGGTTAAGCTCCCACTCCTCTAGTTGTGTGAGTTTCCATTCTCTGCACTTCAACTTGTAATGTCCTTGAATGGAAATGAACAATTCTTTCTTACCAAGGAATCACTGATGTATCTGTTCTTTGAATAATATCTTGCAAACCAGTATCTCTACATGGCATGTAGAAAGTGAAAAACTTGGGGAAAAAAATTCCAGATGAGTTTTATTATGGAAATTAATCATATATTTTAAGGTAAGTTCTTAGAAAGATAGATTTATCTTATTTTCCCTCTTTCCTTCATCTTAACTTCCATTTAGAGCTGAAATACTTGATAATTGCTAAGCTTTCTTCTAAGTTTTCTTATCTAGTCTATAGTAATTGAGGGCCCACAAATAGGGACTAAGTTGATCAACACGGACAAACAAGTCAGTCATTGAGACTCCTGATTGAGGCTCCTGTCTTAAGCTTCAGGCTAATTTGGACTTCACCTGACAAAAATGTTCACATTTTATGAAATCTCGATGTGAAAATATACTGGTTATTTGCTTCATCGGGTGAAATAGAAATTTCAGAAATACATTTGCTCCATTTTTGAAGTTCTGATATTCATTGAGGTGATTTCAATAATCTTGTCTCTCTCATTTATTCTTCTGTTTGAAAAATGTAGCTTTAATTTGGCTTAAGCCCAGTTCCCTGGAGAGAGATTGTACTTAACTTGGGTTCTGCTAAGAGCAGAGATCCTGGTTTCTCTCACATTGTTAAACAATTCCATAGTCTTCCCTGATAGAACAATTAACAACAATCCTGAGCTCCGGCAGTATTTTATACTGTCAAAAACATCATTCCTGCCTCAGTTTTCTTTGTGCAGAATGCCAAGTTTTTATGTCCTTTCTTCTTTCCTCACTTTCGTTTTTCCTGTCTGAGGCTGTAGATGTTAGATAAGCAGAATTTTCTTGATGAAACTGTCTTCTCTTATTAGAAAATTCCTGTATTTGTGACTATGAGGAGTAGGAGAAGATGAGGGGGGCAAAATATTAACTATAACAAAGCCAGTATTAACAGATATTTAGATATCTAGGATAAAAAGACGTATGCTAGAAAACCGGCCCCTACCCAATAGCTGTTGTTAGGAGGATACACAAGGAATTTGTGATCTTACAGCCTCACAGGAGATGGTTAACTGTAAGAGAAGCTCAGGGCTAGCAATGTTTGAGACTTGGTATTTTCTTGTTCATATGGAAGATTGCTGGCATCCTGCTATTACATTTTGCTGAGATTCTTACCTTCTCTGAGAAAAATGAAAGCAACATCTTTATAGCTGACAGTGGTGGTAGTGGGGGCACCAATACCAGGGATGAAACCTCCTTAAAGACCTAGTTTTGAAATTGAGAAAGATCTATAGTACATAGAGAACTTCTCTCTTCTCTTCCTTCTCTCTTCTCTCTCTCTGAAAAAAAAAATGATACTGTTCTCGGGCACATTGTTGTATGATTCACTATCATTTATTGAAAAGTTATGATTTGCCATGCACTGTTTTAAGTACTTTACATACGTTATCTTATTTAATATTTATAATATCTCAGTGAGGTAAGTGATGTTATTACTGCCAAATTATACATGAGGAAAATAGAGGACGATTTACCAGCGCTGTTGACTTTTGAAGTGTTCATTGCTACCAACAATTATATTCTAGATTCTTTATGTTTCCCTGTGAAACATGGAGAGAAAATAGAAATTGTATGAGTTTGGAGGACAGAATTCCTATTGACTCTGAAGATTCTAACCCCTGTAAAATCTCCTTGTATAATCCCCTCCCGTTGAATGTGGGTGAGCCTTATGAATATGATGGAATAATCACTCCTTTGATTACATTATGTTACATATCACTCTCACAACAGGCCGGAGAGAGATTCTCCTGCTGGCTTTGAAGAAGTAAACTGCTATGTTGGGAGATGGCCACATGACTAGAACCTGAGAGCAACCCCTAGAAGCTGAGAGTGACCCCACTTTTTGACATCTGGCAAGAAAATGGAGATCTCAGTCCCGCAACCCCAAGGAACTGTATTCTGCCAAAAACCTAAATAAGCTTGGAAGAGGAGCTGGAGCCTCAGATGAGATTGCAGCCCAAGCTAACCCCTTGGTTTCACCTGGTGAAACCTTGTTCCAAGGACCCAGCTGACCTGACCAACAGACACAGTGAGATAATAAATTTTAATTGTTCAATAAAAAACTAATACAATGACTTTCTCTGACTTTCTGTTGCATGTATGTCTGTATGTCTCTATTTGCATGAATGTGTGAGTTTGTATGTTTCTAGCAGAGAAATAAAGAAATAGAAAAAGGAAAAGTAAGAGAGAGAGGGAAGTAAGAAGAGAAGGAAAAGGAAAAAGAGGAGGACAAAGAGAAGGAGGAGGAAAGGAGGAGGAGGAAGAGAGAGAGAGAGGCTGCGGCAATCATTCCACTACCTTCACCAAAGAAAGTTTGTAACAAGTTAAAACCAGCTTGCCTCTAGAATTCTCCACCATGGATAATGCAGTTGCCATGTATAGAACGGGTTTTCAGTTCTCAACTAAATGCTGTGTGATATTTATGCTCCCTTTTACAGGGAAAGACAGCAAAGGTGAAAACAAATGTCAAATTTGATCCTGGTGACAACATTCATCCTCATGGGCATTCCCCATGCACCTGCCCTGGACACCACCCTCTTTGGAATCTTCTTAGTGATTTATGTACTCACTTTGGTGGGCAATCTCCTCGTCCTGCTGGTGGTCAGGGTGGATTCCCACTTCCACACCCCCATGTACTACTTCCTGGCCAACCTGTCCTTCATTGACATATGGTTCTCCCCTGTCACTGTGCCCAAAATGATGATGACCTTTGTCTCCCCAGGGGGAAAGCCTATCTCCTTTCACAACTGTGTGGCCCAGCTCTATTCTTTCCACTTTCTGGGTGGCACTGAGTGTTTCCTCTACATAGTCATGTCCTATGATAGCTACCTGGCTATCAGTTACCCACTCAGATACACCAGCATGATGAGTGGGAGAACACGTGCCCTCCTGGCCACCAACACTTGTCTCAGTGGCTGTCTGCACTCTGCTGTCCAGACGATGTTGACATTTCGTTTGCCCTACTGGGGGAGCAACCAGATCCAGCACTACTTCTGTGAAACGATGCCTGTCCTCTAACTGGCCTGTGCAGACACCTCTGGTAACGAAATGGTGATCTTTGTCAACCTAGGGTTAGTGGCCTTGGGCTGCTTTCTCCTGATATCGCTGTCCTATGTGTCCATTGTCTGCTCCATTCTGAAGATCCGCACCTCTGAGGGGAGACTCACAGCCTTCCAGAACTGTGCCTCCCACTGCATCGTGATCCTCTGTTTCTTTGTTCCCTGTGTTTTGATTTATCTGAGACCAGGCTCCAAGGATGCTGTGGATGGGGTTGTGGCAGTTTTCTACACTGTGCTGACACCCCTTTTGAACCCTGTTGTGTACACCCTGAGGAACAAGGAAGTGAAGAGAGCTCTTTTTAAGCTTAAACAGAGAACACTTTCTCAGAGCAAATAAACACTAGGAAGTAGAGATGCTCTTTTCTTTTTTAAAATAAGTAATATAATTTAATCATCAACATGCCATTTATTACACATCTAGTTCTCAGTGTTAACTATTATTTAAAATCACCTACTTGGAATATTTCTTTCACAGATTTTCCTATAAAATTTCTAAAGTCACAATTATTATTATTTTTTTTTACAATGACATGCCTATACTCTGATGTATAAACTCATTTCTCTGCAATAGGTTTATTTTATCTTTTTTTTTTTTAAAAAAACAACCTACACTTATTGTATGTAGACAGCTGAGTTATTCATATCTCTAAGTTGATAATGTGGTTCTTGTTTATTTCTTGGGCACACAAACATAGGAATTTACAATCCTGGGGATACTGTACAAGGATAGCAACATCAGAGGTCATTTATTGAGTCCAAACCTGTGTAACTGCTTTCTCAATTCTTTTTGTAACTGTGGCTGTGTGTGTGTTTGTGTGTGTGTGTGTAGGTGTGCGTGTATGATAGTCCCAAGGGGGCTGACCAACTTCCTTTTCACATCCTGACCCTGCTCATTGCTCACACACTAAAAATGGTCTAAACTTCTTCTGAGCACCCTGCATCTCCCTAGGCAGTACTTTCAGGACCAGCTCTGGTGCTGACATGCTCCTTTTAGTAACTGGGAACTATTACTCCCTTCCAAGGGCCCCACAGATTTATCAGGTTTAGTGAGAGGGGTTAAGACTAGGTCAACAGCAGATACATTTAGACTCAATCACACATTCTACCTTTCTGATTAGACTCTTTTCTTAAGCTGAATCCTTTTACTACAAATTCTTGAAATACAGCATGCTGCTCATGCTGTCTAGATGGTTCCTTCTCCCACATTCTTAGAGTCTTGGAAATTTAGCTATACTAAAGCACATCCTGCTCTTGAGCATAGATGCCCCAAATTGCAGGCTGCAGCCAATGGTAGTTCTTATTTAGAAAAATGGAAACATAATTAACTAGCTTGGTATCATTGCATTTCAGTGCATTTATTTTAAAAATTAGAAAAATAAGTTCTGGTAAAGTGACCTTTTGGTTAGAAGCCATAGCACTCTGTAGCTCTTAACCACTGTGCCAGTAAGACTCAAAAAAACCTAATGCACAGCCACAAAGCCAGTAATTCTTACACAATGCACAATATACTGGCATTGCACGCAAAAGAAAACTAATGGTGGCTCAAACACTTACAAGTTTAGAAATCATCTTTTGCTCTGTATCTCAATTTCACCATGTATCTCAATTTCACCATGTGTAAAAGATCCTCTGTCAAGTATGATTTGTGGGGATTAATTGAGGTAATGGAAGTTAAAGTGCTTTGAGTAATGCTGATTTGTAAATAAATTATTTTTCAATATTCTCTTAGCAATTCTAGACCCTAAGTAATGTCATGTAAGTTTTAGCATCACCTTAATAATTTCTACAAAATAAAACCAAAAGTTCACTGGACATTTTATAGGAATTGAATTGAATTGCATCTACTGATAAATTTTAGAAGAATTGACATCTTAATATTGAGTCATCCAACAGATGAACAAGATAGATTTCTCCACGTATTCATGCTTTAGTTTCTCTGAGCTTTTTTTTCTTTTCTTTTTTTAGTTTCGAGGGTCCATTTTATTAGACAGATTCCTATGTATTCATGGTTTTTCTGATATAATAAATATAATCTTTTTAATTGAATTTTCTGAGTATCCATTGGTAGTATATAGAAATAGAATTTTTTTATATTGATGTTTTATGTTGACTTACCAAATTTACTTATTATTTCTACAAACCTTCCTCTAGATTTCTTAGGATTCCACATAAACAATTATGTCATCTGTGCTTAAGGACAGTTTTATTCCTTTGTTTATGATCTATATCTCTGTATATATATTTGTCTTTCTTTGTTTTATTGCACTAGCTGAGCAAATCTACAGCAAAAGATCTCTTTAAAGTGTTAAAAAGCAAAGATGTCACTTTAAGGACTAAAGTGCACCTGACCCAAGCTGTGGTGTTTTCAATTGCCTCATAAGCAAGAGAAAGCCAGACAATGAATAAGGAAGACCAAAGAAGAATTGACTCCTTTGAATTACTGTGTTGGTGAAGAATATTGAATATACCATGAACTGCCAGAAGAACAAACAAATCTGTCTTGGAAGAAGTACAGCCAGAATGCTCATTAGAAGCAAGGATGGCAAGACTTCGTCTCACATACTTTGGACATGTTATCAGGAGGGACTAGTCCCTGAAGAAGTAGAAGACCAGCGAAAAAGAGGAAGACCCTCAATGAGATGGGTTGACACAGTGACTGCAACAAAGGGCTCAAGCGTAACAATGATTGTGAGGATGTTGCAGAACTGGGCAGTGTTTTGTTCTGTTGTACATAGGGTCGCTATGAGTCTGAACCAATGCGATGGCACCTGACAACAATATGTCATTTAGAAATAAGTTATAGAGGCCAACATGGTGCTATACACAGAATTACTATGCCATCTCTCTACAGCAAAGACCTAGAAAAATAAGTAAAACATACAAACGTCAGTCCTGGAACCCTAAGCATCAAATGAAGGGATAAAAGACTCAACCAAGCATGCAATGGAATAAGAAACTGACAGAGAACAAATGACAAGGAACGTTACGGAGTGGGGGTCCCCTACCAGCCAACACAGCATTGACTCGCCATCTTGGACCTCAGCCACCAAGAACGGCAGACAGAGAGTGTGGGAAGGCAACATCATGGATCTCATAATGGGAGACAGAGCACCGACTCCACACATCACATCATTTCCCTTTCCTCCTGACTATCTGCATCATGTGTCAAGTGCTGCACCCTTAGGCAGAACAGGCATGGAACTCTGGGCCCTGCCCTGCACTTCCCTCTGGCCCTGCTCTGTCAGCCCCAGTACATGCTGCAAACGGCACACCCCTGCTGGACCTGCCCTGCTGCACCATAGCTGAGTGACTTGCCCTGCTCACCTGGACATGGTGGTGAGAAGTATTGTGCCCACAGATGAGCAAGCAATAAAGCACACTCAGTCTGCCTGTCCAAACATTACCAAATAAATCAAAAAAGCAGGATAAAACAAACAAATCTACAATCAATAATTGAAGAAAGTAATTCCTGAATGTTCTGAAGACAGCAGACAATATCAAAACATATTTAAAAAAAAAAACAGGACAGGATGGCTCCAGAAAGCATTAAAATAAAACACCAGATGACCTTTCAGTAGAAGAAAAGGTACTGGAACTACCTGATAGCAAATTCAAAACTCTAATATTCAGGGCTATCTAAGAGATGAAGGAAAACACAGACAAAAGCAAAGAAAAAATAGACAAAACCATGGAAAATACAGAAAAAAATCAGGGGAAAAACAGACAAAGCAAGGGAAGAATTCAGGAAAATAATACAGGAACAAAATGTCCAAATAAGCAAACAACTAGAAATCCTATGAAAACAGCAATTAGAAATCCAAAAGATAAACATAAGATTTCGGAAATGGATGGTGCTATAGAAGGTTTTAGGAGCAAATTTGAAACAATGCAAGACAGGATCAGAAAAATTGAAGGCAAATCTTTGGATACCACTTTGTTTGAGGAAAAATCAGAGAAAAAAATGAATAAACCCTGAGAACTATGTGGAATAAAATCAAAAGCAAAAATTTAGGTGTGATTGGAGTTCCAGAACTTGGAGAAAATGGTAAACACAGAGAGGATCGCTGAAGATTTACTGCCAGAAAACTTCCCTAATATCATGAAAAATGAAAATCTGACCATCCAAGAAGCTCAACGAACCCCATCTAGGATAGCCCTCAGAAGAAAAACACCAAGACATATTTTTAATCACATTCGCTAAAACCAAAGACAAAGAAAAAATCCTGAGACCAGCTCGAGAGAAACGAAAAGTCACATACAAAGAGGAAACGATAAGACTAAGCTGTGATTAATAGGCAGAAACCATAGGCAAGAAGGCAATGAGATGACACATATAAAACCTTGAAAGAAAAAATTTGCCAATCAAGAATAATATATCCTGCAAAACTCTCACTTAAATATGATGGCAAAATTAGGACATTTCCAGATAAACAGAAATTAAGGGAATTTGTAAAAACCAAATCAAACTTACAAAAAAAATATTAAAGGGAGTCCTTCAGTTAGAGAATCAACAACATCAGACAACAAGCTGAATCTATGATGCAAGAGAGCATCAACCAGATACCAACCTAGGTAATGAACTCTCAATGATAAAACAAAACTAAAAGTTTACAACAAGGAACCAGAGAGGTCAATCTGTAAATGATGACAATGGCCAAACAATAAAAGAGGGAATAAATGGTGTAGGTATAGAACTTTTGAATGGAGAGGAAGTCAAGAAGATATCAAGTAATAAAAGACTAGTTTAAACTTAGGAAGATAGGGGTACATTTCAAGGTAACCACAAAGAAAGTTAACACAGGTACTCATGATAATAAAGAAGAAAAAATAAAGTCTCAGTAAAAACAAAGTCTACAAAAACCAACAAGCCAAGCAAACAAAAAAATCCACAAACAAAAGATATTCAGCACAGGAGAGTAAGAGGAACAAAGAAAACGTCAGCACCACAAAAAAAAGCACTACAAAATGAGAGCAGTAAACTCACATCTATCAACAATCACACTCTTTATGCACCCATAAAGAGACAGAGGGTAACAGAGTGGATAAAAAAAAATCAGGATCCATCAGTATGCTGGCTACAAGAGACTCAGAAAGAGAAATATAAATATATTAAAAGGAAAAAATATCTCAAAAAGAACAGGAATGGCAATACTAATCTCAAATAAAATAGACTTTAAAACAAAATCCACAATGAAAGACAAGGAAGGGCATTATGTAATGATTAAAAGGACAATCCGCCATGAGGACACATAATAAATAGCTATGCACCCAATGACAGGGCTCCAAAATACATAAAAAAAACTAATAGCACTGAAAAGAGAAATGGACTGTTCCACA